CGAGGAGGTTACTCACGTAATGTATGATGACTGCACGGTTTGGTGAGAAGGTTACTCACGTAATGTATGGTGACTGTACGGTTTGGTGAGAAAGTTACTCACGTAATGTATGATGACTGTACGGTTTGGTGAGAAGGTTACTCACGTAATGTATGGTGACTGCACGGTGTTGGTGAGAAGGTTACTCACGTAATGTATGGTGACTGCACGGTGTTGGTGAGAAGGTTACTCACGTAATGTATGGTGACTGTACGGTGTTGGTGAGAAGGTTACTCACCTAATGTATGGTGACTGCACGGTGTTGGTGAGAAGGATACTTACGTAATGTATGATGAGTGTACGGTTTGGTGAGAAGGTTACTCACGTAATGTATGATGACTGTACGGTTTGGTGAGAAGGTTACTCACGTAATGTATGATGACTGCACGGTGTTGGTGAGAAGGATACTTACGTAATGTATGATGAGTGTACGGTTTGGTGAGAAGGTTACTCACGTAATGTATGATGACTGTACGGTTTGGTGAGAAGGTTACTCACGTAATGTATGGTGACTGCACGGTGTTGGTGAGAAGGTTACTCACGTAATATATGGTGACTGCACGGTGTTAGTGAGGAGGTTACTCACGTAATGTATGGTCACGGCAAGGTGTTAGTGAGAAGGTTACTCACGTAATGTATGGTGACTGCACGGTGATAGTGAGGAGGTTACTCACGTAATGTATGGTGACTGCACGGTGTTGGTGAGAAGGTTACTCACGTAATGTATGGTGACTGCACGGTGTTGGTGAGAAGGTTACTCACGTAATGTATGGTGACTGCACGGTGTTAGTGAGAAGGTTACTCACGTAATGTATGGTGACTGCACGGTGTTGGTGAAGAGGTTACTCGCGTAATGTATGGTGACTGCACGGTGTAGGTGAGAAGGATACTTACGTAATGTATGGTGACTGCACAGTGTTGGTGAGGAGATTACTCGCGTAATGTATGGTGACTGCACAGTGTTGGTGAGAAGGATACTTAAGTAACGTATGGTGACTGCACGGTGTTGGTGAAGAGGTTACTCACGTAATGTATGGTGACTGTACGGTGAGGAAGTTACTCACGTAATGTATGGTGACGACATGGTTTGGTGAGAAGGTTACTCACGTAATGTACGGTGACTGCACAGTATTGGTGAGAAGGTTACTCACATAGTGTATGGTGGCTGCACAGTGTTGGTGAGGAGGTTACTCGCGTTATGTTAGGTGACTGCATTGTGTTGGCGGGGTGGTACTCACTCAGATTCGGCTATATCCAATATGGCTCTGTATTGTTTCATTTCAGGTCCGATTACGGCGAGATCAAAAGCAACATCTTCATATCGTTTCAGTTGCAATTCGTACTGTTCTTTCCATTCTGCCACTTCCGCTTCTTTTTCTTCAAAAAACATCGCATTTTTCTCAATTTCCTCCATTAATCTGTCTCTCGTTGTTCTTAAAGTTTTGTTTTCTTCTTCTTTTAAAAACATCTAAATTGATGAATCGAGACGTTTTTTCTTACTTCAAACAGTACAATAAAGATTTCTACTGTCGTGTATTGATTTATATTCAGAAATATGCATTCTCCGAACAGCGAAAATAACAAAAATCAAACTCCAGCCTCGGCGTCGAATTACTGCTCTTTACCTCATTATTTTACATGAAGCCTCTAGAATTATAACCTCTAGATGGCGCTGTTTACAAACATGCATTGAGGATAACTACAAAAATTAAGAATATTGGTGTCTGTGGTGCCCGATGTGATCACAATACATTACCTCTTCTTGTATGAGTGATATGTGACTTTGAAGTTCCTCGATATTGCATCGGCTCATTTGCATTTCGTACTCTGCTGACGAGATTTTGTTTTGGCTCTCTTCGACAAGTTTTTGTAAATTGTGGATCTTAGAAAACGAAAAACGGTAATTACTAAGACAATCATTTCAGCGGAAGTGACGTCATTTGATTTCAATGCGCATACAGTCTGAGAGGAAACCAGTGTCATGAATGAAAGATACTTAGTTAGCCTAACTCAGTTTACTACGCCATCACGAGCTATTTTGGAGTTGAAATCGAGAGTGAGTCACGGTGATTTACCTGTTGTTGGTATTCTTGTGTGATTTCTTCCTTGTTAATACTGAACTTTTCTTCATAGCGTTTATCCCACTCGTGAAGCAGAGCTTTGAGTTCAATGACTTCCTCTGTTGACATTCTTTTATTGGCACCATCTTTAACGGTAATGTTCGTATTTTCTGGCCTATCTTCACCGGGTTCAAACATATCGCGGAAATCGTGTGACTGAAATGCGAAAATAAAATGCGAGTTTTTAGTTGTGGTGTATAATCCAAAATTCCACATCACAGAGCTACATGAATACTCTTGTCACCTTTAATTATACCAGTAGAGATTGCAGCTTGATGTAATTAGTGTTGTTTCGGACTCCAGTCTCATTGATTGATTGAATAATTTGTTGATTATGAATTCGAATTTATGTTGCTGACGATTTTAAACAGTGTTCTGACGCGTATTGATTTATGTCATACCATAACATATTTTACATCATAGCCGTGGTGACCCAATAATATCATATGAATAATCTCAGAGTGCATATTTAATGACCCTTAAACACCAATAAATTCAAAATATCATCCCAGATTTCATGTGCTTAGCTGAGTGTGATGCTTACCTGTTCCGACTCGGAGTCTGCGAAATCGCTGGATAGCGACTTCTTGGTCCGTGTGGGTAAACTTGTTGTCCTTCGTTTGAGTCGTTTCGGTACTCTTCCTGGAGTTGCATTTTGTTGGGAGTTATCTTGAAAGAAATCATCAATGTTATTACTCCCAGACACGCCTTCTTCCAAAACATTTCTTTTCTTGTACTCCTTGAAGACGTTCCCCTTCCATCTTTCTATTGTATCCAGGGCATCTTCGATCCTGGGTATTTTTCTATAGCACCCAGAGCAAATACGGTCGTCATTTTCTTGTGACATTGGTATCAACTCGAAGCCAAGAATGGCTTCCAGCCTCACGTACAAATCTTCACCTTCCTTTTTGACCTTGAAGAAAGGATATGATTTCCTTGTTTCAACACGACTTGTGCCACTAGATGTAACAGTGCTAACTAACAGGCTACATAATCGGCAGTGCTCCTCTTCCAATGAAGTCAGACGTGTATTACGTAAAGGACTTGTTATAGAGGTGTCGAAGTCTTTATTAGCTTCCCGTTTACGTAGTCCAGCCATTATTATCTGTCTGTGACGATAACAAGAAATACTTCAAACGTTGAGGAGTAAACTTGTTAAATATACAATTGAATACTGCATACTCGCACATATAAATTACAACTCAGTAACACCTAATACATAAAAACAATATCCTTGTAAATTGGTAAATGAGTGGCAATTATATGAAAAAATAAGCGTCCATTACATGAGTTTTAAATATATACTACTAATATTTATATGCCCTTTCATAAATCTATAACATAAAATATGGTCGTGATGTTCACTATTATGTTATGCTCTTTCAAAAATCTAGAACAAATTATGTACGTAATGTTCACTGACATGTTATGCCTTTCATAAATTTATAACATAAATTAAGTTCGTGATGTTCACTAATATATTATGCCCTTTCATAAATCTATAACATAAATTATGTTCGTGATGTTCACTGACATGTTTACGCCATTTCATAAATCTACAACATAAAATATGGTCGTGATGTTCACTAATATATTATGCCCTTTCATAAATCTATAACATAAATTATGTTCGTGATGTTCACTGACATGTTATGCCCTTCATAAATTTATAACATAAATTAAGTTCGTGATGTTCACTAATATATTATGCCCTTCATAAATCTATAACATAAATTATGTTCGTGATGTTCACTAATATATTATGCCCTTTCATAAATCTATAACATAAAATATGTTCGAGGTGTTCACTGACATGTTTATGCCCTTTCATAAATCTATAACATAAAATATGTTCGTGATGTTCACTGACATGTTTATGCCCTTTCATAAATCTATAACAAATTATGTACGTAATGTTCACTGACATGTTTATGCCCTTCATAAATTTATAACATAAATTAAGTTCGTGATGTTCACTAATATATTATGCCCTTTCATAAATCTATAACATAAATTATGTTCGTGATGTTCACTGACATGTTTATGCCCTTCATAAATTTATAACATAAATTAAGTTCGTGATGTTCACTAATATATTATGCGCTTCATAAATCTATAACATAAAATATGTTCGTGATGTTCACTGACATGTTTATGCCCTTTCATAAATCTATAACAAATTATGTACGTAATGTTCACTGACATGTTATGCCTTTCATAAATTTATAACATAAATTAAGTTCGTGATGTTCACTAATATATTAAGCCCTTTCATAAATCTATAACATAAATTATGTTCGTGATGTTCACTGACATGTTATGCCCTTCATAAATTTATAACATAAAATATGGTCGTGATGTTCACTAATATATTATGCCCTTCATAAATCTATAACATAAATTTTGTTCGTGATGTTCACTATTATATTATGCCCTTTCATAAATCTATAACATAAAATATGTTCGTGATGTTCACTGACATGTTTATGCCCTTTCATAAATCTATAACAAATTATGTACGTAATGTTCATTGACATGTTATGCCCTTCATACATTTATAACATAAATTAAGTTCGTGATGTTCACTAATATATTATGCCCTTCATAAATCTATAACATAAATTATGTTCGTGATGTTCACTAATATATTATGCCCTTTCATAAATCTATAACATAAAATATGTTCGTGGTGTTCACTGACATGTTTATGCCCTTTCATAAATCTATAACATAAAAT